TTACTCAAATACTATCCTTAATTCTAGAATTTCATAGGATTCTTTTTTATATTTTATGTGCTTCGATTCCCCATCTGCTCACTCAATATGATTCTTTTTCTTTAAATCCTAACTATATTTATAATACCTTCTTTTAAAGTGCATGTCTGCTAATGCCAACATCCAGATCAGCTCAGGATCTATTGCTCTTTACTCTTTTCTCTTGACCTTAGGTCCCACTGCTTTGCATAACTAGTATTTTTTTTTTAACTATACACTGGATACTGCAGAAGATAGATGGCAGAGATCTTAGATTGTCTTATCTTCTGTTGAGGAGTGCCAGGTCCTGCTGTGGCAGACGGTGATATGAGGAAGCTTTTACCCTGGGTTATTATGGTTCTCTTGCAATGTCGCCGATAGCCTCCTGGCAAATCCTTCCCAGGATGTCGTCTTTACTTCCCAGGTATTGTCTGTGTGGGTTTTCATTCAGGGTGTTCTCTGGGCCCCTGTGGGTTGGCAGGATTCAGACTCCCAGCTCTTTCTTCCTTGCCGTTGGCAGCCGCGAAAATCTCTGCACGGCTTTTCCCCAGCCTTCCGAGAGTTGCTGTCCTTGGAGTCTCCCCTGTGTGTGTGCGGTTTGGAGTCAGCTGTGGATCTGAGATGAGTTTGTGTATAGATTCAAGGCTCCCTCTTCTGCAGCCCCTTCCTTTCCAGGACACTCCCTCTCTATTTCCAGCCACAGCGGTGGCCTTGAATGAGGTCCTCTAGCCGGGAGCACTGGTTTCCCCCTTGGCCCGTCGATGGCCGTTATTCCAGTGCGAGTTAGTAGCACCACTACTGGACTCAGCGCTCCCCAACTAGACTCTTCATTTCAGTGTTTATCTTTCCTTTCATACCATTACTGATGTCTTTATGTTTAAACTTATGGTTTCAGGCTTTGCTTTTTATGTACCCTGCCCTGTATTCTTTTGGATCGAACTTTGTTTTTAATGCTATGTTTCTCCCTTCTTTTATCTTGGTAATTGTACATTCTGTTATTATTCTTAAAGTGTTTACTCTAGAAATCACTTAATGCATCCTTTACTTATTCGAGTCTTAATGTAAATTCTCCACATTTTCCAACAATACAGGGGTCTCAAATCTAATTTCTCTGCTTCCTGCTTTTTATGCTCCTATACTATATTTTAATTCTAGATCTCCTAGGACATTTATTATTGTTATACAGTGAACATTCCTGTTGATTTCTTCCATATGTCTGCTCTCACCGTTGCTCTGCATTCCTGCTGCATTTTTGACCTTCCATCTGGGATCATTTACTTCATTCTGTAGAACACCATTTTGTATTTCCTTTAGTGTCCTCCTCTGGTGCAGGGTCATCTATCGGAAAGTATCTTAATTTATCTTTTTTTTTTTTTTTTAACTGAGCTTTTATTTACATGCCATGAAATGTATAGTTCTGTGAATTTTTACCTTGTGTTTGTTTGAGTACCATCAAGATACAGACTATTTCCGTTCCCTCAGATAGCTGCCTTCCTCATTTACCTGCCCCACCTTACCAGCATAGGTTGCATTCTGCCTTCCGTCACCATAGAATACTTGTGTGTTTTTTGAAGTTCGTGTAAACAGTCACATTGCATACACTCATTCATACCGCCTTCTTGTGCTCCAGATACTGTTATTGAGGTTTATCCATGTTTTTGCATGTGTCGGTAGTTTGTTCCTCTTTATTGCTGACTAGTCTCCTATTGTGTGAATGTCCCACAGTTTGTTTATCCAGCCTCCTAGTGATGGAGTCCAGTTTTGAACGATTATGAATGAAGCTGCTGTGAATATTTGCCTACAGTTCTTTATGTGGCCATGTCTGTGTGCTAGTCTTGGGTATATAGCTGAGGGCAGAATTTCTGGTTAATAGGCGTGCAATTTGTTACCTGTCTGTGTGTAACACATTCATTACCCTTCCACTTAGCAGCTTAAAATAAAAAAACCATGAACGTGCATTATCTCTCATAGTTCTTGTGGGTCAGAAATTCAGGGGCAGCTGAATCTAGACCCCTGCCTACGACCGCGCGAGTGTCCTCGCCACACGAGAGCCGTCATCCTCAGAATGAGGAGTCCCGAGAGCCCAAGGTGGAAGGCGCCGTGTCTTTATGACCACCTGTCGTTTCCACGCTGTCACCTTGGTCACACATGTCAGCCCTGTGCGTGCGGGAGTGACCACCACGAGGGCCGCTGGGGATGCTGGCTGCCGTGCGCACGTGTGACTCTGGAGGAAAGTGCCGTCGTCCTGCGCGGGCGCAGGGTCCTCTCCGACCGCTGCTTTGAATCGTAGGTCAGGATCGCAACGGAGGTTCGCTCTCGCTGAACGTGGGATTCCTGGTGCTTCCTTCCTGCCTTTCGGACCCCTGGGAACACGTGACGCGTTTGCTTCCAGCTCCCTCCGACCTCCGCCGAGGTCGAGCTTCAGGCTCGCGCCGCTCCTGATGTGCGTGCGCCCTGTTCCGCTGCCCCTGCCTCCCGCGGGTCCCTTTCTTCTCTGGTGGCCCAGGAGCGGCTTTCCTTGTATTTATCCTGCCTGGGTTCCTGCTCTTTCTGGCACCTGTGGTTCGATGCCTTTCAGTTTGGAAAACTGTCAACCATTCTCTCTTCAGTATTGCTTTTGTTCCATTTTCTCTCCTCGCCTCGCACTGTCAGACGGCTCTTAACTGTAGTCTAGAAGTTTCCATGTTGGTGTCTCTTATACTTCTCTGCATTTTCCATCATTCTTTTCCTCACGCTTGCATCTGTGTATTTTTCCTAGCCCTTCATCCAGTTCATTGGCCACTTTTTTCATCTAATTCTATCTGATTTGAAACCTTAAGAACCATTAAGTTCTCGACTTCAATTAGTATTTTCCTAAAGTTCTAGTATGTCCATTGAGGTTTGTTTTAGTCCCCTTTTCTCTGCTAAAGATTGTTAGTCTGACTTTGGGTTTTTGTTTCTTAACTTCTATTTACTTATTTTAAGTAATCTCCACACCCGGCAAAGGGCTACAACTCAGAACCCTGACATCAGGAGCTGCGTGCTCTTCCGGCAGAGCCAGCCAGGGACCCCTGAGTTTCTGTTTTCTTAAATGTGCTGGGCATGGTTATTTTCAAGTCCATTTTTAATAGCATAACACAGTGGAAAGTGTTATGGATTATTGGAGTTGAGTAATGGATTCTACTTTTGTGAATGAAAATTTTCATAATAAAAGTTAAAAGTAAACATGTCTGATAACCAGTCCATTCTCTGGATGACCTGTGTTTCTCTTCATTGTCTATCTTTTATCTTGACTGTTGATCACAGTGACTTGTCCCCTTGTATGCATAACATTTTTTAAATTGCATTCCAGATACTGTTTATTAAGGTTTTGTAAATAATTTGAAGCTCTAGTTCAGGGTCAGCAAACTTACAACCCAGGAGCCAAATTCAGTCACACCAGTTCACGCACATACTGTTCATGGCTGTGTCCGTGCTACAGAAGGAAAGGTGACGAGACCGTGGCCAGCAGCACTGGAAACCTTGGCCCTTCGACAGAAAAAGTTCACCAGCTCCTGCTCCACGTGTTTTCCTCCAGACGCACAAACCCAGTCCCCACTACCGCTCTGGTTCCTTATCACTCAGGGGACAAAATCCAGACTGTCATTCTTAGTTTTGGTCTGCGTCCATGCCGGCAGTCCCTACCACTGCCTTCTACTGCCTTCGCCCCAAACCTGGGACTCTGGGCCTGGGTGACGGCTTTCAGTTTCACAGGCCCCTGCGGTGTTCCATCATCTGACCTTTGCGTGGATGATTCCAGCTACCTGAGCACGCTTGCTGCAGAGTGGCCTGCAGGCCTCCAGCCCTCCTTCTAACATGTCCGCCGCACTGTTTCCTCCTTATGGAAGCTCGCCCTACACAGAGTGACTTTCTCCTCTGTTTGCCAGCTTGCCACCTGGTTCCGTGCTCTGTCCTCTATTCTGCCAGATTTGGTAAGGGTTTACCTGGGCCCTGCCCCAGCCTGAGTCCTTTAACGCTTTGTTTCTCGGGCCTAACCTGGATTGGCCCTCTGGGTGTGTTTTCGAGGGGTTGACAGGAAAGAAGTCTTACTTCTCCCGCCCAGGGGTGTTTCTTCTTGCACCCCCGAGCGCACTGCTTCCTTTTTATAGGGGGACGTGGCTCTCTGAGTGGAGCCCTTCTTTTCCTCGGTATCGAAAATCTTCATCTACTCGTTTCCTTCCATTCATCCTAGACACACGACTTCCAGCTGAAAGGCGTTCTGACCTTGGGTCTGTGTTCATCTGTTAGCCTTTTGGGAAATGGTACCTGTCTTCTTCCCTCTCACTGTCCATCCTATCAGACCTCAGATCCAGGGAACATCCTGAGTCCTCCCTCATCTCTACACTTCACAGTCAATCCCTCCGTAAGTCTCATTTGTTCTAGTCTTAAAATCATATCTTTCCAGTGCTCTTCATTTGTCTTAATTGGATAATATCAATTGGATAGTTTTATTTTTCTTTAAAAATCTTTAATGGTTTCCTGTTATACTGAGAATAATAACTAGAAATTTCACTGTGATTTTTATCACTTTTTCCTCTCTCACTACAGTGCAGCCATGTCCCTTTCCAAATACCTGTTCTCTCCTACCTCAGGGGCTTTGCACTTCCTGTTTCCTCTTTTTGAAATGTTTTCTTCTTCCCCAGCTTTCACATGGCTAGATCTTCTTGTGTGTTAGGGTTTATCCAAGAGGTTTTTTCTACCATCGTATCTCCAATTACCACTTCAATCGTTATCCCCACATATCTTGGTTTGATATCTTCCTAGTAAGTATTAAAATCTATGATCATTTATCTATTTATCTTCTATTTATTGTCTGCTCCTAGCACTCCAGTAGAGGTTCTAAGAGAGGAGAAATCTCATCTAAAATTATCACAAATGTATCGCCAGTGCCTAGCCCATAGTACATGGTCAGTAAAAGTTCTTTAATTACAGGATTTCTGTAATTGTGTACATTCACTGTCTTTATTTACCAGTCTCCCATGCACTCCGGATCCTCCTCTTTCTAGCTTCTGCTCATGATTCCACTGGAACCCCTGTTGGAGAGTTGAACATCAACTTGTGAATAGCCAAATATAATCTACAGGTTGCTTTTTATTGTATTTGTTTTCTCTAGAACTATCTGGCATTATCTTAATATCCTTTGTTTTTGTTTTTGTTTTTCTGCAAAGTCTGGTGACCCGGGATACAGTTCTGATTCTCTTCCTTCCCACCTCTTGGGGTCATCTTCTTGTTCTGTTTCTCAGCCTCAGCGTCTGCCCCCAGAATGTTGGAGCAGTGAGGATTTCTTCCACAGCCTCCCGTGTCTTCCCACATGATTTCATTCACACTGACAGCCTGGAGGGTCACCTTTCTCCAGTGACTCCAGATGACTGCTGTGTCACTGCAGAGACACCTGGGCCTCCCTACATCTGCCCCTGAACTCCCTTTTCCACCCTGTCCCCCCCAGACACCTCATCCTACCCTGTCAATAGGTCCACCACTGGGTGTGACTCGGTACAGCCACTGTGAAGTGCAAGCAGGAGTGATATTTATATTTATATAGTGTATACTTGAAATGTAGTAACTCCGTAAAGCAGTCCTGTGTGCTTTTCAATTCAGATATAAAGAGACACAACATTCTTGTCCAAATAAACAAAACGGGACAAGCAAGGTAAGAATTTAAGAGCCCATTAGATATCTGGGCTCCCAAAGAAATGAAAATGAACTAAACCTGAGTGGCAAACCGCTCCTAAGAGAGAAGTGGTCTGTGACTGCCCTCGACCCTTCCAGAATCGGGTACCGAGATTGCCTGCCATACTTTTGCTGTCACCTGTGCAGGCTCGGGGGGGGGGGGTTCGCAAACGAGCCTAAAGAGACCTCACCAAGGCAGTCTCTACCTTCACTGGACACAGGGATGCAGGTGGGAGCTGGAAAGCCAAGAGAATTCCTCAAAATCTTGATGAGATATGCTGATCTTTGCTGTGCTCAGTCTCAGCTCATCTCATAGAATTTTCATATAAAGTCAGCAGAAAGCATCCAAACTGAAATAACAAAGGCGAGGAGAATTGACAGTGACAAAAAGACATTGAGGTCTGTAGGATACTGTCAGGCGGTCTCACCATGTGCTGTTTTTCCTCATCACACCCCTTCTGCCGAACGTGTGTTTTATTTCCACACCAACAAGCAGTCCACCAGCTCCGCAGACAACTGCTGGGTGCTCTTCAGTTCAGTTCAGTTCTGCCGGTCACTCCCTGGAGGTGTGTCAGGCTGCGCAGCCGTGAGCACTCAGTCCTGCAAGACCGCGGCCACTTCCTGTGCCAGTTGCGAGTACTAGGCACACCCACACTTCTGTCTGATGTGGCTGTCAGGTTGAGAGTTCCCACAGCCCCGTCCCCCTTCAGGTTGGATAATTTGCCAGAACTGTTCAGAGAACTCAGGAACACACTCTGAGTGTTCGCTATAAAGGACACAAATGAACAGCCAGATGAAGAGGTGCATAGGGCTGGAAGGGCCGCAAGCATGGGAGCTTCTTGTCCTGTGGAGTTGGGATATGCCACCAACCCAGCGGCTCTTCAAACCCCATCGTTGAGGGATTTTTATCGTGGTCTGATTACTAGGTGTGATTAGCTGAATCGCTGGCCGTTGGTGATGAGCTCCGTCTCCAGCCCCTCACAGCTTCCCACAGGTTGCAAAGTTCTAACCCTCTAATCGGTATCTGGGCCCTGTAGCAGCCAGCACCTCCCTCGGCAGTCCCTGGGCAGTGTAGGGGCCCACCAGGAGTCCCCTCATGAGGACAGAAGACACATCACTTCAGAAATTCCAAGAGATGTAGGGGTTTGTGTCAGAACCTGATGACAAAGATCAAATGTGTATTTCTTATTACACCACATTTGCGCACACCTCATTGGCATCCCAGAAAGAGAATGGAACGAAAGAAATAATTCAAAAGATACAGGGCAAGAACTTTCTAAGATTGATGAAAGTGATCAATGTATAAATACAGAAATATCTCTTAAACTCTAACCAGGAAAAATAACAAAACAAACCATAGCCTAGATATGCTGTAGTCACACTGCTCAAAACCAAAGAGCAGGTCTTAAAAGTAATCGGAGGGGGCATTAAACAAACACATTATATATGGGGAACAGTGAGAAGAATGATCACCAACTTCTCAACAGAAACACTAGAAGCCCGAAGACAGTGGTAAGGAATCTTTAGTTTGGGGGGGGTGCTGAGGGGAACCTGCCAAGCAAAGATTCTATATCCAGCAAAATTTTTTTTTCAAAATTAAAGGTGAAATAAAGACATCTTCAGACAAAAGCTGAGAGAATTTGCCAGACCCGTGCCATAAGAGATGCTAAAAGAAATTCTTTTGGGGGGGGAGGGGTGAAAATTTGAATCATTTTACTTAAACTTTGGTTGTCATTAAAATTATAGAAACAGGAATGAAAGAAAAAAATCTATATACAGCAAAAGTCAAGAAATACCCTAGGCTGTTCACATTTCTTCCTTTTAAAATAAAAATACCAATTGTATTGATAACATATGAAGAAGTTAAGTGTAAGGCAGCGAGAGTACGGTGGGTCAGAGGAGGTACCTTGAATTAGACTGTCCTCAATCGTGAGCTGTTCACGAAGTAGCATATTAGGTGGAAGTACACCAAAATTTACAGCCATGTTATAATCTCTAGAGAAACCATTGAATAAATAACGCCACGAAAAGAAATATAGCTAAAAATTCCCTACAAGAGAAAACACTAGAACGAAAGGGAAAAAAAGTGATTTATCCAAAAGAAGACAGAAAGGAAGCAGAGAAACAAATGCCAAAATGGGAAATACCACCAGCCATATAAATGATTGCGTTAAATGTCAGTTTTCTTGTTTCTGGCATTTACATATTTTCTAGATGCCGTAGAATGTTCTACATTTATACGTACATTATCATGTTTGTAAGTGTGACCTCTGTGACAGTTTGGCAGTTTTCACCATCTTTGTGCTTTTTTTTCTCTTTGTGTTGGCCAGCCCCTCTGGCCCGGTGTTGAGTCCTAGCGGTGAGGGTGGATGTTTGTGCCTCATCCGTAGAGCGTGGGCACAATTAGAACGAACATGGAGCAGCCTCAGCTTGATATAATTCTGGTGGGAGTGCCCGTGGCACGCCTGCTTTGAGGGACTCTGTTTTCATATAAGTTAAACGTGCATCTATCCTGTGATTCCGCAAGGCCCCTCTTAGGTAGTTACCCAAGAGAAATTAACATGTATCGCTCCAGAAAGACCTGTGCAAGATGTCTTATTCATAGTAGCGAAAAACTTGAAACAACCCAATATCCCTTAACGCAAGAACAGGCAGAGTACATGGGCAGAGTAATGTACCGCGCAGCAGGTACATATAGCAGGAAACAGGAATTAACCACCGCAGAGTATAGACGAATTTCGAAAACATTGTTAAAGGAAGGGAACTAGACAGAACAGAGTATATGTTATGATTTCACTGATAGGGGATCCAAGGACCATCAAAACTAACCTGCGAAGTTGAAGTCACAGCGGCCTGTGTGGGATGGGCATGAGAATGAACTAAAACTGGGCGTGAGGGAACTTTCTGGAGGTGTTCTCTGTCTGGTTTGGGGCAGTAATGACAAGAGCATATGAACTGTCAAAACTCATTGAACTGAGGCCCTGCTCTGCATTTTATTGTATGTTAATTACACTTCCAAACATACATGTTTGTGTGTATTTTTAAAGCCCTGTGTTCCAGGTCCTGAAGTTATTCCCAGTTTCCACACGGGAGAATTGGGGAAGAGAGACTTGCCCAGTGATACACAGTTTGTGACAAAAGCCGGGTGGCCTGGCTTACCAGCCCACACCCTGGCCCAGCGTCCTCATCTCGTCCCCCGGCCCCTCAGTTCCACGTCATGGACTTTATCCTTCAGATAAACTCACATTAGCTCCAAAAAGTTAGTAGTTGTGCAAGGTTCGTCCTTGCAGAATTGCTGATTAGTAGGGGTCTGGTTACATGATGTACAGTACAGTCCTGCAGTAGAATATGATAAAGGGAAAAACCTAATTTTTTTTTTTTAATGTTTATTTATTTCTAGGAGACAGAGAGAGAGACAGCGTGAGCAGGGGAGGGTCAGAGAGAGAGGGAGACACAGACTCTGAAACAGGCTCCAGGCTCCGAGCTGGCAGTCAGCACAGAGCCCGACGNGAGACACAGACTCTGAAACAGGCTCCAGGCTCCGAGCTGGCAGTCAGCACAGAGCCCGACGCGGGGCTCGAACCCACGAACCATGAGATCATGACCTAAGCAAAAGTTGGACGCTTAACCAACTAAGCCACCCAGGCATCCCAAAAACCTAATTTTTTTAACATTTATTTTTGATAGAGAGACAGAGCGTGAGTGGGGGAGAGACAGAGAGAGAGGGAGACACAGAATTCAAAGCAGGCTCCAGATTCTGAGCTGTCAGCACAGATTCAATGCTGGGCTCGAACTCACAAGCTGTGAGACCATGACCTGAGCCGAAATTGACTGCTTAATCGACTGAGCCACCCAGGCACCCCTATTTTTTTTTAATTTTTTTTTAATGCTTTTTTATTTTTAAGAGAGAGAGAAAGAGCTGCAAGGGAGGGGTAGAGAGAGGGAGACAGAATCGAAAGGAGGCTCCAGGCTCTGAGCTGTCAGCACAGAGCCCAACGCGGGGCTCAGACTCACAGATGGCGAGATCATGACCTCAGCCAAAGTCAGACACTTAACCAACTGAGCCCCCCAGGCACCTCAGAAAACCTTATGTATTTATATTGGATAATCTCCTCGGTGTAGGGTAGAGTGGAGACAAATCAGAGATACAGACTACATGCTACCATCTGTGTTAAAAATAAAATAAGGTACAAGGGACCCTGTATACACCTGTGATTGTGTAAACCCACAGCATTTCTGAAAGGAGACCTAAGAGGCTGTGACATGAGCTTCTGGGGAGAGGAGTTGAAGATCTGGGCAGAAGGGGTGGGAGGGAGACGTTTCATTGTGCACCTGTTCTGTACATCTTGGGTAATGAAGCATA